TATATATATATATATATATATATATATATGTGTGTGTGTGTGTGTGTGTGTGTGTGTGTGTATGTGTGTGTGTGTGTGTTATTTAATGGGATTAGGTTAAGGAAGCTGAAGGATAAAGTTCTAGCACTTCTAACATCTTCATTTTAATCATGATGAATGATCTAAATATTATAAGACAATGATCTCTCACCCCACATATCTCATATGAGTAACGGTCTGGCGAGACTTGAACAAACAGGGACATGTGACATAGTACACTGCGGTATGGGGCAAGGGCCCATCACCTCGTGCGTCGGCTCCTTATTTTTCCCCAAACCTTGGTTTTTATCCTCTACAATTTGTACCAAATCCTTAGGGTTTAAGATCCTTGCTTGGTACAAAGTTTGTAGTAGATTACAGCTCTTTGACGATGGCTAGAAGAAGTTCAACCAAATATGAAATTCCAAAATTTGACGGTTTGAATTTCTCAACCTAGAAATTAAAGATGCATGTGGTGGTAGTGAAAGATGGTTGATGGCAGATAAATAAACCTGAAAAGATGGATAATGAGAAATTTGATGAGAAGAATGAATTGGCTAAGACAGATATTTTCTTGGCACTTGATGAGTATGTTTTGCTCAATGGCTCCTTAGAAGCTATAATGAGATTTGTGAGACTGGCAAAATACTTTTGAAAGTAAGTATCTTCCTAATTAAAATTTTCTTCATCAGAAACTTTACAATCTTAATATAAGTGATGTTGTATCTTTGTATGAGCACTTAGATGTGTTTTAATGCCTTGATTAACAAGTTGATGTTGCTAGATGTAAAAATTGATGAAAAGGATCAAGCAACCATATTACTTTGTTCTATGCCAGAATCATGGTATAAATTAATCATGAATCTTAATAGTGTTAAATCTCTTGAATTTGATTTTAATGTTTCAACATTTCTGACATAGGATTCTAGGCGAAAGTTTGATCAGGAATCTTCAAGGAATATATTTACAGCACGGGGAAGATCAATAGAGAGAACCACAAGTAGAGGTAAGTCAAGATCCAAATCAATAGGACGTAAGCAAGTAAAGTGTTGAAGCTGTGGAAAATTAGGTCATGTGAAGAAAGATTGTAAGGGACAAAAAGGGAATTAGGAAGGCCCTAAATCTGGCTCTAACGAGAAGCCTAGTTCAAGTGGATCTCTAGGAAGTCTAATAGAAGAAATTGAGTTTTTTGAAGATGGAGAAGTTTTCCCTGTGGGTAGGGAGGAAGTTTTGCAATATTGGCTACTTGACTCAGATGCATCATTTCATATGACTCCACATATGGATTGGTTCTATAGGTACCAACCATATGAGGGAGGTATTATTTACATGACAAATAATGACTCATGTAAAATAGTGGGAGTTGAAGATGTGATAGTCAAGATGTTCAATTGAGGCATATACACAATCTCAGGTATCATACATGTTCCAGGTCTCCAAAGGAATCTCTTATCTTTAGGAAAACTTGATGAACAAGGTTTCAAATTTACAAGTGAAAATAGATGTCTAAAAATTTCAAAGGGAGCACTAGTGATTATAAAAAGAGAGTTAGCAAACAATTTGTACATATGTGTTGGTGAAACAGTTTTGGGAGAGGCCGATATAGCAGAGGTGGACTCCGTCATGACATGGCATGCACGTTTGGATCACTTGAGTGAGCACATACTCAAGGTACTTCTTGACAAAAACCTTCTCTCTAGTTTAAAATCTTTTAATTTAGATTTTTGTGAGTCATGCTTATTTGAAAAGCATAACAAATTGCATTTTACTTTATCTATCGTAAAAGTAATGATTTTTTGGAATTAATTCATTCAGATACATAGGAATCACCTATTGTTTCTATTGGGGTACTACATATTTTGTAACTTTTATTAATGATTTTTAAATAAAAGTGTGGATTTCTATGTTAGAAAAGAAATCAGATACCTTCTATTGTTTCCAAAATTTAAGGCTTTAGTCGAAAATAAGAAAGGTAAGAGTATCACATGTCTAAGAATTGATGATGGGGGATAATTTTGTTCTGGCGAATCTAATAATTTTTGTAGTGAGCATGGTATACGCTGTTGACAGTTCCTGAAACACCTCAGCAAAATGGTATTGTTGAGATAATGAATCGTACCATTATGGAACATGCGTAGTGTATGTTGAATGTTACCGGGTTAGAGCAGTGTTTCTAGGTAGAAGCAATTCATACATCTTGTTCCATAATCAATAGGTCTCCCAGTGTTACTATTAACTACAAGACACCAAAAGCAGTTTGTACAAGTAAACCTGTTGATCATTCTTTCCTGCGTGTTTTTAGGTATATTGCATATTTTTTAATTTCAAATAAGCAAAGAACTAAGTTGGAGGTAAAATCCAAGAAGTGTGTTTTTCTTGGTTATGTTGATGGTATAAAAGGGTATATAGATTGTGCGACCCTAGTGACCACAAAATTAAAGTTTAGATGTTATTTACAATGAAAGTTCCAGTAAGAAAAAAAAAGATTAATTAGATGAAAAACTATTAAGGTGGAATGCACCGATGAGAACTAGTGAGATAGTGGTCAAGATTAAGAACCTAAAATTGTCTAAAAGCATTAAGAATATTTAGGTGGTGGTGAATTAAAAAGGTCTATCTGACCTAAAAAGGCTCTTGTGGGGCTTAACGACTATGTCTTGTCTTATGCGAGCCTAACAACTGAGGGTAAGCCAGTTTCTTATCATGATGTGAGGTCAATGAAGTCGGTCAATGGAGAACATCCATGAAAGAAGAGATGGAGGCCATATGAAAAAATAAAATATGGGACCCCTTTGAATTACTAGAGGTGCGAAAGACAATTGGTTGCATATGGGTCTCAAGATGAAGAAAGGTCTTGATGATGTTGAAAGGTACAAAGCTCGATTAATTATAAAAGATTATACTAAAAAATTAGGTATTTATTTTAATGAGATTTTTTTCTCCTGTTGTGCGCATGTCCACTATTAGAGTTATTTTGGCTATGGATGTTGTTCTTGATTTAGAATTGGAAGAATTAGATAAGAAAACTATATTTTTGTATAGCGACTTAAAAGAAGAAATTTATATGAGGGTTTTATTGAGGAAGGTAAAGAGAATTTCTTGAGGGTTTTATTGAGGAAGGTAAAGAGAATTTGGTTTGAAGGCTCAAGAAATCATTGTATGGGTTGAAACAGGGGTCGAGATGTTGCGAGTCCACACTTCAATCTAATGGAATGTGTACCTTAAAATTTTGTTGGAAGGTGTAGTTATGTTTCAGGAACATTATTATTTTTTAATCAGTTACTATGAATTTCATTCACCCATGAACGATTATAAGGAGATTCAAGAAGAAAAGGATGTAGCCATCAATGAATGTTGGTGCATGCCACCCTTTGCTAAAAGCATAAGCTTCTATATTAGTCTCCCTAAAACAATGAGATAACTCAAAAGAACCACTATTTAAAATGAAAAAGATTTCATCAAATATGTTGCATAACCTCCAAGGTGGCTTCATTTCTCTTTTTTCCCAAGCAATAACATTGCTTGAATAACCTTCAATCATCCTTTGGCCCTTGAGGTTCTTTAAACCCTCTAAAAGAGCTCTTGCTTCAGTTTCATTCACTGTTGTATGTCCACATGATCTCGAGTAGGTGAATTTGTAATTACCCATATGATCTATAATGGTACCACCATCACCTGCTGGATCTGGGTTTCCAATCGAGCTTCCATCAAATTTGAGTTTTAAATAATTCTTTTGAGGAGGCATCCAAATAGCATTTCAAGTTTGTTTGTCATTAGTAAGCTTAGTAACTTCACATGGTTCTCAAAAATATGTGATTTTGGAATAAACTTACAATCCTTGTTTGTTGAAAACCATTCAGCTACTGTTGCTAAGGTGTTGGACTTCAAAACTTCAATCTCACTTTGTGTCCCTTCAAATTTCTTCTATTTCTCTCTTTCCAAATATTCCAAATAGTGCTTACCCATAAAGCTCTCCATAGCATGGTGCCAACTTTAGACAGACTTGGGTTCATCCATTGAGAGAGGATCAATTCTAGGCTTTGTTGGATCAGGATATTTAGATTCAACAACTTTCTACACCAATCCCAAATGCTTAGAGTGAAAGGACAATGTAAAATAATATGGTCTACACTTTCGTTATCCCTCAAACATAGCCTACAAACATTAAGCATTATGAAACCTCTCTTAAGAAGGTTATCCACGGTAAGCAGCTTTTTTTGAAGAGCTACCCACAAAAATAACTTAACCTTCAGCAGCACTTGCAAATTCCAAATTCTTGCTAAACTACAATCAATCTCTATGTGATTCTTCTCATGCAACAATCAATAGATAGACTTAACTGAAAAATCCCCTGAAGTTGTGAGTTCCCATACCAATCAATCATCTTTATTTGGAACATAAAAAAAATTATGCAACAGAATCATAAGCAATTGGAACTCATGAAAAAAAACAAATGATATCTTCTTGTACCTGCAAACAATATTTCAATAAGAGTTAATAAAATCAACTCCTCTGAGATCATTCACTGAGGCCAATGGATTGTCGACTTTGGAGAAGACCTCAGAGAATAGAGCAAGGTCTCCCAGCCACTTATCAAACCAGAACAAAGTGTGATATCCATTTCCAACCACTTTGCGATAATGACTAAGGTATGATAATCGCCTCGCATCAATTCCTTTCCAAATACTTAGAAAACTAACCTTAGATCTTGGACTTTTAATAAGACCAGTCACATCTACTCCATAGTTTTTTTTTCAAACCTCTCCCCATAAGCTACCCTGCTGATTTTGAAAGCGCCACCACCACTTAGTCAATAGGCTAGAGTTCATCAATTTGAGCTTTTTAACTCCTAGACCCCCATCTATCTTAGAAGTACATACATTTCTCAATTCTCAAGTTTCAGCTTTTTTTCTATCCCTACATTGCCCCATAAAAAAGATCTCATAATATTTTTCAAAGTCTTCACCACTTCCTTTGGCATTCTAAAAATGGACATAAAATAGATGGGTAAGTTGAACAAAGTAGAGTTAAAAAGAGTAGATCTTCCACCAAACGACAGCACTTTAGATTTCCATAGATCCAGTTTCTTATTAAATCTTTCAATAATAGGATCCCAAATAGTTGTCGATTGGTTTCTTTTAAATAAAGGAATATCCAAATATTTGCAAATAAACTTACCAACCCCACATCCAAGAATTTTGGTCAAAGATGCCACCACGTTCTCTAAAACTCCATTCCCAATCAAATTTGTATTTTCTAAATTCACTTTGAGACCTGTTGTTATTTTAATACACTTTAAGAACACCCACAAATTCCTTACTTCTTGTTCCTCTGGGCAATAAAAGGTAATAGTATCATCTGCATGTTGTAAGTGAGAGATTGTTTGTCTGCCAACATTAAATCCATAAATAAGCCCTCTACTCATCGTAGAGTTCAGCATAGTACTAAAACTTTCCACCACAATAGTATATAAGTATGGCGGCAAAGGATCTCTTTGTTGAATGCATCTTGATGCTTTAAAATGACCAAAAGATTTTCAATTGAAAATGATGGAGAAATGAGTTGACTTCAAACATCTCTGGATCCACACTCTCCAATGTGATCTAAAACCCATCTTCCCTAATATTTCATGTAGAACATGCCAATCCACTTTATCATATGCCTTTTATATATCTATTTTATATAGAATGCTTGGTTTTTGCTCTTTCAACCCTGTGCGTATGCATTCTTGTGCCTTTAAGATATTGTCTATATGATGGCTTGAAAATCTATGTTCAACCCAAATTATGAAATTTAAAAACTAAAAATAGTGCAGATTGAGCTGATCCATAAACATTTTAAAATCTTAAAAATAGACAGTCCAGATAACTTGTTACACGATAAACTATTTTTAGGACATAAAATTCTTTTTTTTCTTTATACAATATATTTGGAGGTTGAGATGATCAATTGGAAGGTATTCCAACTTTGGAACACTCTTTTGAGAAAATAAATAAATAAATAAATCTTGCCTAAAAGACTATATGCTCTTGCAGGAGCTTATTGTGTGATCACTCCCTCGTTAAAACCTATCAAGGAGTATTTCTTTGGACTCCAATTTTTGGAATGAAAACTCCTCAACTTGGTAACCAATTTTGGAAAAAAGAAGAAGACAAAAACCAAAAAGAACTTCACTTTATATGTGCCTAAAAACAATAATCGACTTTGAGATTGAATGGAAACCATCCAATTTTGGGCAGCTAAGTTATAAGGGTCCTATTTTTTATTTGAAAATGTGTATCTTGCCTTTATAATGTGGATCCCAAAATTTCATTTAGAAAAAAAAAAAAAAAACCTCAATGAGAATTTCACCCGAAAGAGCCACTGTACAATGTGCTCCTATTGGAGCATGCTAAATGTCGATTAAACTGGAGTTACAAAAATATGATTAAAAGATTCAGGAGAAATGGGTTCCCATGCACAATTATAAATTATATTAGTGAAGCAGACGCCCAATAACCTCACTTTAAAATCCACGCTTATTGGAGATTATTTATTTCTTAATGTTAACATGCAACTTTCATTTTCTTATCATAAAAGTAAACTTGTTATGCTTAAATTTTTTTTAAAAAAAAAGAGATTAATGTACAAGTGTACTAAGCTTATAAATTAGGAAATGAATATAATAAGACTGTATATTTTTTGGTATAAAGAGATTACGATCATTATTTACCATTAGATGTGAAATTAGGTAGTGGGGAATGTGTCATTGATTGGGCAAAAAAATCAAAATAAAATTTCTCAAATATTGTGATTTCACATCCAATGGTTACGAATGATTGTGATCTCTTTCTATCAAAAGTAAATAGCTTCATAGCATTAAATCCCAAAAAAAATATCTATAAAGACATTATTTCCAAGTAATGAGTAAGCAATATTGGAGCTTTTTGTCCTTCAAAACTATCTTCAGAAATATTTGTAAGGACGTTAAAAAAGTCAGAATCTTTACAATTCCTAAGATTTCTTGTTGTCTTTACTGAATCATCCATCCAAGGAAAGGAGACATGAGGCAAGTTATGCCTCACAAACAAGCATCTATAATCAGAATCTAGAGTATACTAAGAAAAAAAAAAAACATAATCAAGTGCTTATGTGAAAATTGGCTAGCATCTAGAGATTAAAGGGCTTGTTAAAAAAGTCAGAATCTTTACAATTCCTAAGTTCAAGCAATATTAAAGCTTTCTTGTTGTCTTTACTAACCAAGGACAATGGAACAAGAGGCAAGTTATGCCTCACAAACAAGCATCTATAATAAGAATATTGAGTATATTTATTTCAAAATAAAAAAGCATAATCAAGTGCTTATGTGAAAACTGGCTGGCATGTATTTTTCCATGTTTTTACTCCTAACCTAGTCTCAACATGAAGCTTATTTATTCAGAACTAAAAACAATAAATTGATTTCTAGGTCAACACTAAAAGATGGATCTCAACTTTCCCATGCCATGGTGCCTATAAGACACACAAACCTAGTTTCATTCCAAACCAGAAGAAAAGGGCCCATAACCTAATTATTTGAAGGATCAATGGAGGAGCCTCAGTCAAACCCAACTTCATCCCAAACATAACTTTATGCTCTCATCTCTTTAATTTTTCTTCTAGCATTGAAGATCATGACAACGAGAGATAGAAAAAGAAAAAACCTGCCTCCAGGACCTCCAAAGCTACCCATACTAGGCAACATCCACCAGTTAGGGAGGCTCCCACACAGCACCTTAGCAACCCTTGCAGAAGAATATGGACACCTGATGCACCCAAAGCTAGGGCAGATAGAGACCATAGTAGTTAGCTCACCTGAGCTAGCCCAACAAGTCTTGAAGGCACATGACATTGTCTTTGCTAGTACGCCAGTCATCTCAGTAGGAAAGCGCCTTGCCTATAACGGCAAAGACATCATAATGCCACGTACGGCGCGTACTGGCGAGCAGTTCGCAAGATTTGCATTTTGGAGTTGTTAAGTGCTAAACGCGTGCAATCGTTTCGCTTTGTTAGAGAGGAGGAGACCACTCATCTAATGGAATCCATTGCTGAGGCTTCCTTTACTCATATCAATCTCACAGAGAGAATTTTCTCAGTTGCTAGCAGCATAGTGGAGAGAGCGGACTTGCGCAAGAAATATGTTGGTGATGAGTTCAGGGACATCATTAGGGAGACAATTCAGCTGAGTAGTGGTTTTGATATAGAGGACTTGTACCCTTCTATGGGCTTTCTTGGCTTTCTATCAAGCACTAGGTCAAAGATGGAGAAGGTCCACAGGCAACTTGATTGCTTCCTTGATAAGGTGATAGAGGAGTATGTAAGGAGTGGGAGGAAGCATGAGGGAGAGCAAGGGGACTTGGTCTATGTCCTCCTCCGGCTTCAAGAGGAATGTGATGCTGAAGTGGAACTAACAAAAGACAATATTAAGGCAATCCTCATGGTAAGTGTTTTTGTTCTCCTTTAATATGAAAGGTGCTTTGCAGTGATGATTATGGGGTCGGTGTTTGGACCCGGCCGGTTAGGTACGGATCCACTTGTTTGTGTGTAGCGTGTGTACTGACCGGGACCCCTACCAAGTTGGTGGGATCTAGGTCCGATTAATATGGAACCATTCTAGTTAGTTTGGTTTAGGTGGGGGTTGAGTCGACCCATGCAATGTCTTCGGCTGAAGAGGCCGAAGCTTTCAGATTTTAGGCATAAACCAAAGATATGCGAAGCCCGGTGCTACCGTTTCGGTCAGATTCGAACCGCTTCAAGCTGTTTTAGTCAAATTCGGACCGCTTTGGGTTTGCGTCGGGTATGCTTTGGCCAACAAAGAAATAGCTATATAAATGTTTTTTTATTTTAATTTTTTTAAAAAAAATTATTAATTTTTAGTTATTTCCATTATTTTTATATATTTTATATATAAATATTTAATTTATTTATACTAAATTATAACAAAAAAATTTGAAGTCTTCTCCCGAATCGGCCGAAGCACCGAATTGCTTCATTTTTCTCACCAAACCGAAGAAGATAACATTGGACCCATGTGTGGCCTTGCTCTGAACAGTGGATAGAGTGGTAAAACCTTGATTCGGTATCGAGAAATGTTGAGGGTTCCAATTCCATCATGTTACCAATTAAAAGAGAGACAAAAAAACATAGAAAACTTAAGTTCTAAACTAACGGATATACATTTAAGTAAGGAGAAAGTTTATCTAAGGTCCCACTGATTTACCCCCAAAAAAAAAAAAAAAAACTTTATATAAGGTTGAGGCTCTAAACAGTTAAATTAAGGTGAACCTCCAAAATTCATTAGAATAAGTTATTTTGACTTCGAAAAACCCTCAAATCCGATTATCTTGACTTTAAGATACATAAGCATAAGAAAAAGAGACTTGAAATATTGGTAATAGTGCATCATTGTGAATTTTCAATATTTTCCAATGCTATCAAATTCGCTTCTCTTCAGCTGAAGAAGCCGAAGCCTTCGAATTTTAGGAATAAACAAAGGAGAAGTGAAGCCCGGTGTTGCTGCTTCAATCAGATTCGAACTGCTTCGGGTTGCTTCGGTCAAATTCAGGCCGCTTCGGGTTTACTTTAGGTATGCTTGGGGTCTGCTTAGGCTAGCAAAGAAATAGAAATATAAAAGTATTTTTTTATTTATTTTTTTTATTTTTTTTATTATTTATATATTTATATACAAATATCTAATTTATTTATATTAAATTAAATAATATTTATAAAGTCCTATGTCTTCCCCCAAATCTGTCGAAGCATCGAATTACTTCATTTTGCAATTAAATATGAAAATAAATTTTCAAGCCATCATAAAGATTTTCGATACTCAAACGCAATCTTTCTATACTATTTGAAGGTGACCCGTACTTTGATTGTTTTATACAACCACAGCCTTTATGTAAATATGCCAAAAAGTTTATTAATTATGCTCTTTTTTTAATTAAAGAAAACATTTGAAAATATGTTACAATCCTAGTAGGAAATGTTTAATTTTAGGATCTGGTTTCTTTGAGTCAACTGACTCATACAGTACATACGCAGTTCCCCGACTTAAACATATCTTAAAAATGCATTTTTAATCCATATTTTTAGGGATTCATGACGTCGGTGAAGATTATCATGAATATGAAAAATAAAATAGAACTTCCAATATTTGAAATGTGATTTGTTTAAGGAAATTTTCTACACCGTCTAAACTCATTGTAGCCCTATTGGTTTTTTAGAACGTCCATCTTAGAGATGGACGTTGCTGAGTCAGAGGGAACTTGCGCCCATTGATTCACGAATAACTTTTCCTTAATTTTATGCCTCCAAGGAAGACGTTCTGTTAAGTTTTTTAAAGTGATACTTCTGTATTGTGGAGCATGAAAAACAGAATGGACATGGATTTGGTGCGTGTTAGCTAGCGGTCTCTTACATAAATCTATTTTAGAGATTAATTTTGGATCTAAAATTTAATAGCCCAATACTTATTAGATTTTAAATCATAAAATAGATGATTATTCTTTATCGTTTTTGGACCTTCATTCTACATTCTTTTTAAATTTAAGGTTTATTTATTTATTGTTTTCAAATTCATCATCAGGATGCATATGCATATGGAGGCACGAAAACATTTTCCAAACAATGTTTTTGGTGCTTTAGGCTGTAGCTCACATGCACCATTCTAGTGTAGTCTCCTTCCAAATTCATATTAGAGATGTATTTTAGAACTAAAATTAACAATATGGTGATTTACAGCTTTGTCTCTGTCTCAATAATCTAATTTTTAATGAAGATCATCATCATCATTATTTTAGCCTTTTTCTAATTAGTTGGAGTCGGCTACATGAATCCTGGTTCTCCATTCTGTTCTATTAAAGATCATACCCTCAGTGAGGCTATAAATTCCCATATCTTTTTGGATTACTTCCAACTACGTCCTTTTGGGCTTACCCCTTGTCCTTTTCAATCATTTTATTTTAACTAATTTGCACATCCTAATAGGTATCGTACTTGGTCTGCATCATACATAACCAGTACCTAAGCCTACTCTCTCTCATTTTATTGCTTATTGGTGTCATGCTCAAATTCTATCGAACAGATTCATTGCGAACTCATCCCTTCTTGTCTTGTCACTCATCTATCTCAACATCATTATCTCTGCTACACTCATTCTATAGGTGTATTGTTTTTTGTCCGCCCAACATTCTGCCTTATAGAGCAAAGTTGGTATCACTGATGTCTTATGGAATTTGCTCTTCAGCCTCATTGGTATGCAGCGGTCAAATAAAATTTCAATTGCACATCTCCACTTTGCCCACCCAGCTCTAATTCTGTGTGCAACATGTTCTTCGAGCTCTCTATTTTTCTGAATTATCAACTCAATATATTAAAAGTACGATTTTGTTTGTACTTATTGATCGTCAATCTTAACTACTTCGTCGTCTCTGCTCCTAGTATTACTAAATTTTCACTCCATGTACTTTGTCTTAGTCTGACTAATTTTAAAACCTTTGAATCCTAGAGCATCCCCCCAAAGTTCTAACTTTGTGTTGATATCGTTTCAGGTTTCATCAATCAGAAATATGTTATCTGCGAACAACATACACTACGGTACCTCAACCTGTATGTGACTAGTTAAGTCGTTCATGACTAAGACAAAGAAGTACGGGCTCAATATTGACCCTTGATGTAGACTTATTGTCATTGAAAACTCACTCGTCTCTCCACTAATTGTTCGTGCACTAATTACTGCTCCATCGTATATATCTCTCACTATAGTGCCTAGAGACACCTTTCTTTTCCAACACGCGCGAAATCAATTCTTGAGGTTCTCTATCTTAAGTTTTCTCTATATCAATAACGACCATATGGAGGTCTTTTTTCTTTGCCCTAAACTTCTCAATCAGTTGCCTAAGTAGAAAAATATTAGACTTAGTTTTAGTGGAAAAAAAATTAAAGCAAAGTTATACTCAAAACTGTGTAGGAAAATACTACTGTGGCGTCAAAAACCCCTTGATATCTTGAAAATCTATTTTTGCTACTAATTATAAAATTTGAGGCTCGAAAAATAGTTAAGAACACGTGGTTATATGAATACTTGAAAATAGGCCATTCAGATGATGTTTGTCATACACATACTTTTTAGAGTTGAAATCTTTTTTTTTTTTTGTTTTATCAAAAAGAAGTCTGAGGATCTATTTGAGGGTTACCAACCTGAAAACTATTAATTTCTATGAGATTTGAGGTGCTGTTTTACTTTTTCTCCCAAGGTCTTGGTCAAGTAGGCCTTGTGATAAAATTTTCCATTAAAAATTGTTTAAAGAAACGTCTCTCTTTTTGTTCGGTACTCCTCTTCTTCCCAATTGAATTGAAATGTTAGCCCCAAATAATTAAGGATTAATTCTTGATTCGATCAGCCTGGATCGATGATTATTGATACACCTACAATTCCAGATTATGAACACAACACAAAAAAAAAAAAGGAAAAATGAAAAAATCAAGGGAAAATTACAAAAAAATCCTAAGATTACACTTTTTATACAACTTACTTCTAAACGCACTTTTTCTCTCACTTTTTTCCCCAAAATACATTTGTTATACAAATACCCCCCAACCAAATAAAAAATAAAAGAATACATAAACTGCTCTCCCTTATTTTTACTTTACCCGCGCCTCTCTCTCCTCTATCCCACTAGAATAGGGGCTCCGGCACTGTATAAGTGTGGTCTGATAGTAGGGCTCGGGCACTATCTAAAGTGCAATCCAGCAGCAGGGCTCAAACACTGTGTAAAGTGCGGTCCGACAATAGGGCCCCTGCACTGTGTAAAGTGTGGTCAGGTAGTAGGGCTCCGGCACTGTATAAAGTGTGGCCTGGCAATTGCAAAGGGCAAACCGACAGTATTTAGTTTCGGTCAGGTAGGTGTCTTAGGGAGGTCCGACACTTGTGCGCTTCGACAATGTGATGGTACGCTCCAGCAATGTGCTACTGGGGTCCAAAAGTCATCGTCAAATCTAGCCAGAATGATTTTTGTATACAAGAAAGGTACTTCTGTCTAAAAAACTGAATTTTTTTCCTTGGGGGGTATTTGCATAAAAAGTTTGTTTTGGGAAAAAAAGTGAGAGAAAAAGTTATGTTGAGGGTAAATTGCATCGAAAGCGTGGTCATGGTTTTTTGTAATTTTCCCAAAGATCAAAACATTGAGAAAGGGGCGACCCAAACATCCCTAGAGCCTGGTTGGCCCCATGGCTCTAGTTCGAACCACCATCCTCTAAGCAGCTTAAAACACTAGAACTACTCTCATCAATGGCTTGGCATAGTTAGACCATGATGATGCTAATGTAGTCACATTAGGTAGGACCAACATTGAAACTGCGATTCTCATGGCCAACTATGTCTATTGTTCTCTAAATTATTTTATGGGATTGTCTAAAAGACCATTTATCTTTTGTACATGGAGGTCACCATCTTTCTTATCTCTTGAATTTCAAAATTTGTAGTTGTAAGTGTGTTATTGAATATACACAATTCCTATTATATATATATATATATA